AAAAAAAAACAAAAAATTTTTAGGGGGTCCAAACGCCCGAGTTTTATTAACGCTATGTAACTTGCCCGAGATATCTCGGGCTTGGGGCTTAGGAAAACTTTTCTATTAGCGAACCCTTTGTTAAATATTTCGAATATCACCACTGCCAACAACCACTAATGAAATCGTAATTTTACTGCAATCTATTAAATGAGCGTTGATGTTAAAAAAAAAGTGTTAAATTCAAACGCAAAAATTAATTTATTTATTTTCCATTTTCAAAGATAACGTACGAGGAAAAAAATGAAAAAAGGGTAATAGTGACGTGAACAGTTTTATTTTTACATTAAATTAACTGCAGTGGAGGCGGCTGGTGGCATCTAATATGGGAGCGCTCTCACAGCATTGGCGCAGCATGCAACCCAAATACAGTAAAACTTCGATTTTACGAAGTAATTCTGGTGAGGGGTGTATTAGGACCACTAGACCCTATTGCTGAACAACTGAAAGCGTAATTCGTCTGAGAATGTTACTTGACGTTATTTGTCTACAGTTCAGACAATGGATCAACTTTTTCTTACTTTTTAACTTTTTTTCTAATTTTTTGTTTTATTTTTCTATTTGCTCTGCGGCTTCTTAACTTAATCACCAGTCCTCAGAAGTGTCGACAAATAGTAATGGAGAAATAGTAATGGTGTAACATCTGTCGAATCTCTCTCCATTTTTCATTTGGTCTGGGGTTAAAACTTGTTTTATGAGATATTCATTTTAGAGTAGTATCTTCATTCTTTGATGACCAATGCTGAGTTCGTTATGCATGTTACTTTTTCCTTTTAGTTTATCGCTATTCGAAGAATCGCGATAAGCTAAAATAGCATCCAATAGATTCTTCGACTCCTCACATCCAACAGTACTGGAAATTTTGGTAGTCAGATAACCTTCCAGATGTAATATCTGATATTACATCTGGAAGTGTTTATCTGTAACAAAGATAAAGTGTCTGCACATATCTTCGTTATAACTGTCGCTATTTTGTATAGAAACGCTGATAAGCAAACAAATTTGTAGAGAATAGATGAAATCATAGATTACTGAAACTATAGAAGAAATATTCACTGATTCTTTAGAACCAATGAATATTTCGTTAATAAAACGTAATAAAATATTCCGAATATATCTTTAGAACTATATTATAAAGCTTTCACGAGCTATAATATAGTACGATAGTCGAAGGGAAATAGTCATATGATCAGATAATTATTTATATTCTAAAATTTATATATATATTTTTTCCTTGTTTTTAAATTTAGAAATTAAATTTTCGTTTATGATTATTTTGTGTGTCGTCATTACAATGCCTGAATATTTAGTTAAAAAGTATAGAGAATAGCTTTCATCTTTTCTCTGATAAACCTTTACAATATGAATATGTATTTATAGATGATAAAAGGAATTGGTTGTCACGCTTTCAACGTGACAACCAATCATCATATCATCATTTATCAGACGCAAAAACTTTATTTTTGTTATAATAATTTAAAAAAAACTGAAAACTAAATAAATAAAAAATTCGATGTCTGCACACATCCTTTACAACCACAGGAACACAATCAACACGCTCTGCTCGTGTTAATTGCGTTCCTATGGTTGTAAAGGATGTGTGAAGACATCAAATTTTCTTTGTATTCAGTTATTTTTAATTATATTTTATCCTGGATTTTTAAAAACTTTTTATTATAATAATTCTTTATAATCATGTATTAGACGCACAAACTTTCAACGATAAAAAATACATAATTACGGGATACTTGTAATAATTGCGCAGAATTTAAAAAAGTGAAATGTCACGTTAGTTTAGACATAAAGCTAGATTAATTAGAAGCATTGTACAAACAAAGATGTATAAAACTGTATTAAAATATGTAAAAATTATTTTAAAAAGTGTTTATAATATCTTTAAAGAAGAGGAATTTTTCAGTAATTTATTACAAAGGAAGTGCGATTTGGCAACACTGTCCGTGTACGTTTCCACTCATGGGGTTTTGCTTGTCTTGCTGCGAAAACAATTCCAAGTCGTACGAAGATGTTCGCTCGTCTTCCGATGCGGTACGACATTGCTTATTACTTTTCCTATTTAAATATATATTCGCCTTACGTGCCATTTCGTAACGATTCTCAAAACACTGGCCTCGTGTTACGTCATAATATGCAATATTTTCAGTTTAACACGAAAAATGTCAAATGAAATGTACAAATATTGATTTTAAGAACGAGGTTGATTTTTCAGGATTGTTTTTATTTGCATTTTCTTTTAGCTGAATTTTTGTTTCTGTTCTATTTACGTGTGATGTACATTAATAGCTTAATTCATATTTAATTAGAGGAATATTAATTCCAATTAATTTCAAGGACGTGGTTACTATTACCAATATTTGGTACGTGCGTGTATTTGCACTATGTAGAATCACGTGTCTTATTCTATAAATAAATGTCCAGAATCGAGCTTAGTGATTCATTCGATGGGACTAATATAAACAATTGATTCATGATTCATTACTTGACAGTTTTTTGTTTATTAACCCATAAATAGAAGTATGGTGTTAAAATGATTTTTGTTTAGTTCCGATTTCTTAAGAGTTTTTGTTTTACTTTGCAATGGTATATACGTTTAAGAGTATTTCTTGATGATTTTAGATAACTTTCTGCCAAACTGTTGTACCTTGTTAGCATGGGCGTAGCGAGGGGGGAGCCTGGGTGGGCACGGCCCCCTCCAGTGAACCTGGTGCCCCCCAGAAAATCACAGCCGAAAAAGTGTCGAGCCGATTTGCAAAAAGAAAGAAAAACTTAACGCTAAAAAAAATAATAAATATATAATAATAATAATAATGAAATATATATATATATATAATAATAATAATGAAATAATTCAATTTTGTGTCAGGTTGGCCTCTATTAGGCCCCCCATAACAAAACTCTGGCTATGCCCATGCTTGTTAGTGCACAGTGACCAAAAAATTGTATTAAAGGCAATTCGCATTAGGAGTTGTGTCGTCATTTTTGTAAAAGGTTATAAAAATTAAAATATATTTTGGCTTAACATATTGACAAAAAACTTCTTATTTCTTATTTTTTGCAGTTTACATATGTGTTTGTCTCAAAGTATTTGTGCAAGCTATTTCAAATTTTTCTCTATTCTTTGATTGTAGATGATATACTTTTTTGCCATCCTGTAGTTTATTGACATTTCTACTTTTCTTTAAATTCTGTCATCACCTTTTTGGAAATTTCTAATTTTTTCTGAACAAACCATGCTGAATTTTACTATATAAGAGATATGTTATAAAAATATCCTTCCTGCAATAGATGTTTAAGTTTATACATTAGATGCCAGGTAATTTTTAAGAATGGCAAAATTGTAGAATTACTCCAACCTTAAAATATCACCCTACTGTCCGAAAATCAGCCAAATATTAAAAAGAGTAAAGTAAAACACAAAATGCGTAAGATCTCTGTGCTAGAATGATAAAACATGTTGCAAGATCTTGTAAAAAATAACCTATTATGAATAAAACATCCTTAGTCTAGCTATCTGTGTAACAATTACAAAATGAATCATTCTCTATTCTGTGAGTGAAAAGGTTCATACTTTAAGAGAACAGATTAAAATTCATGTTTAATCTGTTTTAAAATCTAAGAGGTTGCCTGCCAATAAAATAGTCTTCTTATCCTGAATATGCTCTTTTAAACATTGCAATTTTTTTTTAATAAGATTTGAATGATTCCTTTTACTGAAATATCCAATTTGCACTCACAAGTGAGAAAATTATTTTAATTTGTATTAAGAGAAGGAATTTCCAATGGGTGATAACTATGAATTTGTTTAAAATGGAATTTCATGTTTAATGTGTTTGTTTCTTAAAAAATAAGAAAATATTGTAATCTCTATGGAATTTGATGGGAACTTTGCAAACAGCTTTTGTTGAGAATAATTTGCATTAACTTTGTTTATGTTAATGTGGATTGACTGTATTTAATTTCTTTCTGATTTTAGATTACAGTAAAACTTCAATTTAACAGACTAATTCAGGCAAGGAATGCTCATTAAAACCAAAAGTCCATTATATAATAATGTAGATTTTCCAAATGCATGTGTTAAAAAAAATGACAAATTAGTTAATCTGCTTATATTTAGTTGTATTTCCTTCGGAATTAGCACAAGGTTGCTGTTTATACTTATGTATATATGTTTGTGTTATTAAAATTATAATTTTAATACATTATTAGTATGTCTGAGAAAATCCAGCAAAATTTAATAAAATAAAACGTTTTCAATCGTTTTTCAACGATCATCCTCAGTTACCAAAAATAGAATATTAAATATAGAACATAAAATGCGTTTGAAATAAATACAAAATACAAAAAACAAAAATTAACGGAAAACGCCCTACCGGACGCACTAATGAAAAATTAACAAATAAATCAAATAAATAGTGAAAAATTAATAATTGTAAAAGGACCTCCACGCAGTAGACAATGAGTTGGCGTCTCTATGGTTTATACAACTGGTTTTCATGTGCGCTTTATATATTTCCAATCTCTCTAGATGTTTGATCGTTTGCCTATTGCAATTATAAAAATGAGATATTTGATAAAATCCTGCTATATTGAGAATAAGTAAAATGGCGAGGTTAAGAAAATATTAAGCGTTAAACAAAGTGTTATTTGTAACAGTAAAAGAACTTGTAAATTTAATCTGGGAATGAACTTATTTTAAAGAACTGACATTTTGTTCATTATGCAATTAAAACAATTTAAATGAAAAATTATACTGTGTTAATTTTCTGTGATGAAACTCAATGAAAAATTCAATTGGTGACATGAAAATTTTTATGTTTAGAAAGATGTTTTATTATCTATTGATCTAACTTATTTTTTACAGAATGCATTTCAACCAAATTACTTGTTTGGCCAAAATGCATTCTGTAAAAATAAGTTAAATCAATGGATAATAAAACATCTTTCCGAATGTAAAAATTCTTGTTTACTTATGTCTCTGGTCAATGACAAATAAGAAAAATGAGATCATTATTTATCTTCTCAACTACACTAACAACAACAATTCAGTGATTCAAATATTTAAATGAAGCCAACCTTCATTATTTTACAATAATAACAGTTACTGTAAATTACTAGCAATTATATATACATGAAAGTAAAATCTATTCCCTAAATTTCAGAATTTAATGAATGTATCAATGTTTGTAGAATGTAAAACTTTCTTTTTTTAATTCAGTTTTTGAACAAGCATATTTGAATAAAACATTATCATACTGACAATCAAGGACCTGCCAGTCTTTGGTATGTAGTGGAAAAATTCCCCCTTTAGCACAATTAGTGGAAGGATTTCAAAAAAATCAGGGAAAATGTTGAACTGTCAAAAGAAAGGTGTTTGTATAAATAGATACATACATATATACATGCATACATATTAATATTTTGTATGTTGTAAACTTAAGGGGTAATATAGGACAATGAGATGATTTTTATAAAGCAACCTAGGGTTGGAAACAAATTTTTGGCAGAGTTATGGCTTGCAGAAATTTTGGATATGCCCATGTGGTAGGCAACCATCATTGTGTCTACAATTCATGTCTTCTCTGCCTTATTAAGTCTGTGTTTTGGGATAATAAGTACTAGATACATATAGTGTAGTAAATGAAACTTATTTGATATTTTTCTGCATATTTACATGTTTGGAATGGTGACTGCCAACTTATTCCACAGTGTACAGTACAATGATAAAGGTGAAATTGAAGGGAGTGTTATGAGTTATGATATTGAACATTGAACACTAAACATTTGAACACTGAACATTGAACAGTTGAAAACTTAGTACAAAAAATGAACTATGACTTATTGATCCCTGTCCTTTTTACTTACAAAATACAATAAACTGCATTTCCATATTACACTTTTCAAGATATACATGTTCGATAAATGGATTTTCTAAAAAGTTTGGAAACTACTATGCAAAATTTTCATTTTTGACAATTTTAAAGTAATATGACAGGGCTTCATATGGGTGCAAAATTAACCCACTCTGTGAAAATTGTCAAAATCTGGCATCTTGAGGGTCAACTCTTGCCTGAATTCACATGGAATGACCCTATATATAATCAGTATATAAAGTTTTTTTATTGGTTTTAAAAGCATTATTTGGAACATATTAAAAATATTTTGTTAATCATTGAAATACTTTTAAAATATATATAAAAATACAGTTTATGAATTTTATAAAATTCTCTCTCTAATTTAACATATCAATATGAAATAGTAAAATTAAAGATAGATAAATCAGATTTAATTTAAATTTGAATGTCTACAGGCATTACATCGAGAACAAATGGCAGCGGCGGCAGAGAGACGCATTCGAGAACAGGAAAGTAGAGGTATTAAAGATGTTGAAAAGGTGAAACAATTGCAACAGAGGCATAATGAAAGAGAAAAGATGTTAGATAATATGCCAGAAAGAGATAATCCACTCAGAGTAAGTGTTTAATATATGAGTTTTAATATCTAAATATAGTAAAATTTTTGCTTTGTCACACAAATGGATTAAGATATTCTAATTATTCATGTCAGTAAAGATTGAAAACTTTCAAAAATTAATTAGAATAGACTGAATTATAATGGAGTATAATTATTTGTATTTTAAGAATAGGATAAGCTCCAAATATTCTCCAGCATAATTTAAAATGTTTCAAAAACATTTTTAAAATATTTTATTGTTGTATTTTGTAATTATATTGACTCCTTAGAAAACTGATTCCATCATTTTATATCCAGACAATTATAGTATAGCAAAACTTTTACTGTAATGTAATAAAAATCTTATAAAACAACTTTACTATTTTTGGAATATAAAAAAGAAATCACCTTTTAGTAAGATTTGATCATTTTATATATAAATCTGCAAGTTATAGTGACTGTCAAATTTTGGCCGATGCATTACTGCTTATTTTTTATTGACAAGAAATGGCAAAAACAACATTACAAGATAAACTATAGTAAAAGCACTGTATATAAAAAAAAATTGTATAATCAAAAATAAGAAAAATTTATACACATTATAATCTAAATCTATCATTGAAGACATTGACTTTTAAACTAATGAAATGCTTAAAAACAGAATTTATTATTTAAATCTGATATCACAAAGTATAGATTCATTTTATCTAGCCTTGACTTGTAAGGGCTATTAAAATTTACAACTATTACAAGCCAATCTCTTAAGAATGTGATTTTGAAATTTCAGAAACTGTTCTATTGATTCTTAAAATGATAATTATAGTTGATCTCTCTCATGTTTTAAGTTGTTATAATTGATTTTTACCATTACAAATAATGAACTTACAGAAAATAAAAACATTAAGGCTTCTATATACATTATGGAGACGAGTTGATAATAATAAAAATCAGTGCAGAGCCCAAATGGTTAGGAGTTGAAAGTCGAAATTTGGTACACATTTAGGGTACGTCACGAGAATAAACACAGAAAGGGATTTTTTGAAATTCCTCCCCATGAGGGAGAGGGCAGGATTAAGGCTTAACACTTCCATCAACAATGGAATTGTTAAGAGAAAGCGACGTGCAAGATGCAGATGCAGTTTTTTTCATTTTTGCAAGAAATCAAACATATTTTTAGACCCATCTAAAAATTCTCTAATTAGTCCGGAAACAGGGAGACCGGATTCTGTGAATTATTACGTTATTCTGTCGAATTCTTACATTCTGTGAATTATTACGTTATAGTCAATCTTACCTGTGAAAACAGGTAAGGTTGACTATAACGTAATAATTTAATCTTCGCTATCGTTACTTTTGCCCGAGCAATGCCTGGCCTACCTGCTAGTATTAAATAAAAGTGTAAAAGGTTTATAAAATGCCTATAATATTTATTGGTATTCATGAATAAATCCATATTAAAACTTACTAAATGGATGTTTCAAGTTAAAAATATTTAACTTTAATAATTTAATATAAATTATTAATATTTATTTCTGATAATGATACAAGAAAATTAATTGTCAGAAGGGAGATAGATGATGAGAAAATATATACAACAATTTTTTTTTTGTTTTTGTAAATGTGCAGCAATTAGTTTTTTTTTTTTTATTAAAATCAAATTAAAAATGAATTGTAAATAAGTTTTTACTGTATTTTATATTTTGGCATAAATTTGGAAAATGTAGTTTCTCCTTTACATAGTTATGAAATATAAAAATCAAAATAATTATAATTTCTCTCTCTCACTCAAATTCTTTGGCTGTATGTAATTTTTGTTTACAAAATAGAAATAACTGAGTATCAAATAACACTTTTTAAAACTAATTGTAATTTATTTTTTATTTTTGCAGTGGCAAGTTGGATAGTTTCCATTCAGTCCATTTCTCTAAACTTTGAAGAAAAAAAAATTAAGATTATATTTCTGATATTTTATATTAAATCTTATTAAATTTTTTATATTTGTATGTAATGTATGTTACTCCAGAAATTATTTGATTGGATTTGAGAATGTAATATATTAATAAATTTGAAAATATTGAATGTTATCAAATATGAATGTTAAAACTCTATTTTTTTTTATACTGTATAATAAAAAAATTCTAAAGATCATATTAAAATAAATATCTTTATGCGATATAATCATATTAAAATAAATATCTTTATGCGATATAATCAAATTAATTTTAATGTATATAACAATTCAAAAATGATTGAAACTAAGACTATTTATTTACAAATTTTTAACAAATAATAGAATAAGGTATAAACTACAAGCATTCCCTGCTGAACAATTTCCTTGTATAATGTCTTGCGTTTTAACCCAAACTTCATAGAACATATATAAACATTGCATTGAGAGAGAAATTTAATACTTCTTAAAAATATTTAATACTTAGGATATAAATATGCATAAGAAAACAGTGTAAACAGTGCAGGGAAAGTCTTGTTACATTCCAAATGTAATTGACATCTGGCAAATCACATGCAGACATTTTGAAAAGTGTTTAAGAAACTTATGCCCTTCTTGACAAGGATGCACACACAGTAAAGGTTTCTATTAGGTGTAATGGTACTAAATTATCACAGATAAAACAGACTATTCTGATAATGTCATCTGTAGTACTAACAATAGTGTAGAAAGATAAAACATAAATTGCAGATCCTTCTTTCCAGCAGATATTGTGTTAATATAAATGTCAGCATATTTCCAATAAAAGATCTTGAAGGAGAGAACCCCTCTTACAATTACTACAATAGGAAGCAAGTTTTAATGAGTAACATTAGTCAATTCTGTAAGTTACAAGTGTGCTTGTTTTTTAAAAATATATTACAATTCTTGTTTTTCACTAAATTTTGTCTGCATTCTTTCTGACAAATTTCACTGCTATGTTTATTATTTGCCATGCCACATTGTAATAATAATATTTACAGCGTGATACGTAGATTATAGGTTATGTTACTGCATGCAAAGCAACTATTAATTGATGATATTGTTTGATGATCATAAAGCAATGTTTCAAGTTTTAATCCTAATGTGATAATTTTGTTACTTACATATAGTTGTTTTATACAGTACTTAGTTTAAGAAATTAATTGGGATATCTTGGGTTGATAATAACATGAAATATTCCCAGTTGTTGTATGAAAATGTTAGATGGATTTAGGCTTTTCAAAATGTAAATACAAGCTTTATCATCTAATACAACTATTTATATATACTGTATATTATATTAAACTGTTAGCTTTTATATAAAGAAAAGGAAACATTGAACATTTTTACAGCAGTTTTTTTTTTCTAACTGGCTTATAATTGAATCTATGTACAGTTTATTTATCTGTGTCAATTGAAAATTATAAAATTTAAAAAATCAAACTCTGACTACAAGAATTGGGACCTAAAACTATCTTATTCTGATTCTTTGTAAATATTTTACATTTTGGCATCAAATAAATGTAAGAGTAAACATATGGGTCATAACATTTTGGTTTTATTCTGCTATCAAACCATCACTTGTAATTAAATAAGACTTCCATAGTAGAAATTGGACATTATACCACTTAACTTTCTATAGATCAAAATCATTTCAGAATGTAATTTGAGTTTATGCATTCCTAGTATTATAAATCCTCAATCACCCATGGGCAATTAAGTGAAATGTTTTTCTTTTAGTACCATAATACTGTAAAGAGTAGTTTCCACTATATAATTACATCCAGCAAAACATTTATATAGACTGTTGCTTAGCAACAACCTATTTATGAACTTTGAAATTCATTTATAGACAGATGTTATTGAACAATAACCAATAGGAAATGTTTTCTAGTCGATGCAACAAAAATCTTCAGTTGGCAGGGGAAAAAACTTTTGATATGATAAAATTTTTTAAAACATGTGCAAAAATTTCAGAGAATTAGAAATTGATAATTTTATCTAATCTGCTATTGGACAGAATACAGAATATCTTATAGTGGGATATGTCTAGTGTGATCAAATATCCATTGTTCTGTTAGTGGATGTGATTGTAGATGAAGCTTCCATACAATTGCCCATTGCACTTAATCAACCATGGATAATTGTTGATTAAGTGAAATGTTAATAAATATTACATTCAAGATAGTGATCTCATCTAATCACCCACCAATTTCCCAAGGATGTATAGGTAAGTATAATAATAATTTCTATATTTCAACAAGATTTGACTTCTCTGATATTAGTATTGGAAACTATAAAATGTTCAGAGCACTTTAAAATATAATACAGTAGTACCCTGAACTTACACGATAGGTGGGACCGAGCGATAACCGTGTAAGTCGGGGTATAATTTTGCAATTTGTGTAAAATCCAAGTCGGTTGTATATAAGCTAATAAATGTTCTTGTTAATCTTATCTCGTCTTTTGATTCATTCACGGTTACAAGAAATCACCACATAGTCTCTGAGTCTCCGTAGATATAACAAACACAGAAATAAATAATACAAAATAAATTGTAGCTATGTGTCGATTCCGCATGACACGTCTGAACATGTAAGCCGAACAATAGTGTGGGGGGAGTGAGTAATCGAGAGTTGCGTGGCACTCAAACAAAAGATGAATCGACAAGATTTGAAAATCGCGTAACTCCGGGTTCACGTAAGTCGAGGTATTACTGTATATGCAGCTATTCTGGTTTTTCATACAGAAAAGGTTCATTGATTACATAATTAAAAATATCAAATAGTGTCTAAACAATTTAGTCATAAATTCAAGGAATCAAAATATATTCATTATTCAGTATCATTGTAACAAATACAGTATTTCTTAACATATCAATTTTGTATTGACTTGCATATAAGACAAGCTTTTTATTCATTTTTCACTGCTTCAAAAACCTAGGTTGTCCTATAAGTGCAAGTGAAGGATTCTTTTTGTTTTTGCAATAATTTTTGAAAACTGTGTGTTCACATTTTTTTTTTTACCAGATTCTTGCCTTCTGGTGTTTAAAAACAAAACTATTTTATCTGGATCGTTTGAATCGTGCACTGTCAGGAGTAAAGATGAATAGAAATAGTAAAAGCAAGGCTTTTGAATTGAATTCCAAAATTACATGGAAGCCCGATATAAGTTTTAATTCATTCTCATGTGAAAACATGACTATTTGGAAATCAGAATTCGGAGAAACTCATAAGTGTAATCAATGGAGAGTGGATTCAACTGTTACGAATTGGCAAAAAAGGTTGCCAATTATCCAGCTTTACATGAACAAATTATGTTATCAATTTTACAAGATTTTTCCTTAGTTTAAAATGCTAGTAATTTTTGCTGGACAATCTGTGCATTTACATGCATTTGATATTTTATTTAATGAAATAAAATTAGAATTGTATTAATAAATCTAATTTTCTTTATTTTGATCTTTAAAGTCACACCTCATCTTATATGTGAGTAAACACAGTAGTTATCAAAAATTAAAATTTTTTTACAATCAAATTGCAAATTGGATTTTTTAAATAATGTCATCTACGTTATAAAATTAAGAATTTTTAAATTGAGATTGAACTAACTATAAGATTAGAAAAATTTAACATTGTTTAATTTCTATTCTTTCATTAACAAATGTTCTGAACAGTTACGACCAAGCTTTATCCATGATGTAGGCTTCAAGTAACAAAAATGATTTCCTTAATTTGCAAAGAGATCAAAAGAGAATGTAGACAAAGGCAAAATGTCAACCAAATCAACTGGTCATTCTTCAAAAGACTTGAAAATACATTGTGTATGTTCTCACTTTGTTCCAAGTAAGTTAAAAGATGAACAATGTGAAGGATATGAACTCAATCCTAAACAATCAGTTTGCTATTGATATCTGTCTTCAACTATGTCAAAGTGATTACTGGTAATGAAACCTAGTGCTTCTTGTACAACCCACAGAACCTTGATCTCACAAGATGAAAATTCACTTAAGCTCTTTACCAAGTCAGAAAAAAATTTATGTCAAATGATCTATCATATCATCAGGTTACAATAATAGCAATGTAAGTGTCCAGTTTGGTTATATCTAAAATTAATAATTCTGGAAGCAAAGATGGATGAGGGTCCATGTAGTGTAATTGGCAATGCAAATGCATTGTAAGCAGCAGTTGCCAATTCAGTCCTGTTCCAGGAAAATTCTTTTCTTTCAGAATATTTTAAATTAATAATAATAATAATATTAAAAAAGTTTATTTAAATTATTACAAGTAGACAGTCTAACCACATTATTTCATATCTAAATTATTAAATAAGCCTGCCATATTTTAAGTTGGATAATAAAAGTTGTAATAAAAGTTGAATAATATGCCCAATTGTTTGACATTAATTAAAAAATCATATTAATGAATTTATTGTTATATAGAAAAAAATTTGTCCTTGAATTTGAAAAAGATATTTTCTAAATCATTTACAACATAATTTTTTCTTTCATAAAAAGTTTAAAAATCAGCTAGTTCAGAACTCTTATCTTAAATGTATAGAGTTTTTGATAATCCAACTGGTGTAATATTAATTTTCTGTTCTAGAAACAGTAATGTCTGAATATTGAGAAAGTAATTATTATTCATGAAATTTTTTATAAGCATCCTATATAAAATAACTAACATTCTTGCTCTACCAAATAGTTAAAATGTTTAGCAACAGCCCTTCCCAGCTTTTCTGGCATTCAAAGTTAAGAGGATTGTTAGGAAGTCTGTTTCAATTGTACTATAAAAATTTAAGCAATAACAAAAGCTTTTAAGAGGAGTAATTATGTTGATGATAAAAATCTGTTTAAAAACACTGACACTTGCTCAAAGTTAAAAAAATTTGATATTTTATTTTGATTTGAATTAATATATTCATTTGAAAAACTTTCATATGAGATCCAGTAAAATATATATATGTATATATACCTGTATATATATGTATATATATATGTATATATTTTAAATTACTTTAAAATTTTTTTTTACCACAGATATGAACTTTTTGAAATGCTAAAAAATTATTTTCAGATTAATAAATAAAGCATTTGATTTAAAGCAGTTTTAAGTATTTATTTGCAAATAGGATACATAATCCTGTGTGGTCCCTGCAAAATATTTATCAAAAAGTAATTATAAATCCATCACCCAGTATGCTTTTAAGGCAGAATAGACTATTTGAAATAGGTTCTCAAGACATTTTCTAATTTGACTGCATCTGCAGCAAACTTCCTGATTCCCTCTGATAACTTGTCATTGGCCATCTGATCATCATTGATTGTCCATCGAAATTTTTTCTCGTCAAATTTCACTTTTTCCATATTTTGTTGTTTGGCTACAAAACAAAACTTTCATATAGAAATTGCATTAAATGAATGACATGAGATACAAACTTTCATACACTCACCTGTCTCAGGACTGAGGCGGCGGGTTACACCATCTTTGCTATTTGCGAGTGTCTTCAGTAGTGCAGGACTACATGATAGAAAAAAATATTTTAATAATTTTAATTTTATATTAATTATTAATGTAATAAGTTAAAAATGTCACTTAATAAATCTCTGTTTGGGATTGTGTAAAGCTGTTATAGCTTAAAACAATCAATATTTGATCTTAGGAAAAATTAATTTTGTTTATAAACTTTTGAAAGTTTAAAAAATTATATTTAATCTTAAAATTACTCAGATATATTGTTTCTCTTAATAATGTGACAGGCAATAAAATGTATAATAGTTAGAATTTAAGAAAATAATAATGTTTATGTTCAATGTAACTTTAATAATGGGCTTAAATATTAATTTTATGTATTTTATGGCAAATATCAAACTAACTAGCATTAATATATAATATCCAAAATGCTATGGAAAGCCCTGATTTTTAGTTTAGTTTTTATTTCATCCATCCATTTTTGGATAATGTCAGTTCTATCCACTTGTGACTTGGATAAAGCATGCTTTATAAAGATGAGGTTCAAATTGAACAGACTGTTATAGTTTTAAATTTTAAGTAACCAAATTGTTTAACCAATTTGATTTTTCCAATGAGATAATCATTTGTTTTAGATAAAAACAAATTCAGATATGTTATATTACATGTGTGTGCCATGCTGGATTATATTACAGTGTAAACAGAAATAAGCAAAAAAACTTAACATTTCTATTTGATACTTGTCTCTTTGAATACTATCAAGAATAATGTGAGAAGCTGGGTCAATAAGGATATTCTATTGACAAAATCAGCAATGATTTTGTAAGAACCGCTCACTTTGTCACTGGATGACTAAAAGTTAGAATTTGTCATGGGATCAAGAGATCCATGCGGATGTCAGGAGTAGATATCAGTTAGGATAGTTATACTTGTATCCTAACTCGCAATATTAAAATTCATTCGTTCAAAAAGGAGGGCTTGATTTCTTGTGAGTGGGGAGATTGTGGATCAGTCAATAGACGTCAGATTTTGATTGAACTAACATCAAGACCATTTTAATAAACAACAACAAAATTTAATAAGAATAACTAAACTAAAATACAAGAATTTATACTAAGAGATAAATGACTCCTAAATTCTCTAATTTTCATATTTACATAGTTTGACATAATACCTCTGAATATAATTATTGATCTTGCTTTCTTTGATGATTTGTAAGAGAGGCAGAGGTCAGGAAGTTAGAGGTAACTAGGCACAAACAAATGTTCTGGAGAAATGGCTGGAATGGCCAAATTCACCTCGAATCAGGGGCGTAAAACTCTAAAATTCAGAAATTTTTGCCAATGAGGAGTTCGGATTGCGGTCATCTGATGATGAGTCGAGTTAGTTAGGAGTTTAGTCATTGGGTGTGATAGTAATTTTCTTAGGAAGTAAACTGTTGTGAAAGGAAGCTTTACTTCCTTGTTCTCCTCAAATTTCCCTCAAAAGGGGGAAAAGTGTACAATTTAATAATGAAATATTACATCAAGTTTTAGATTTTATAAAAATAAATTAATCTTATATTCAGATTCTCACAATAATCTTCAATTTAATTTTGAAGTTTCCATTGATTTATATATTTATTTTACCATTAATTGCTTTTGCTTGCAGCAGTAATATAAACTGACCATCAAATTTTGGCATTACAACACACCATTTTGCCAATGATTGTATAAAGTTTCTTGGTTTTATTGACAAAGCAAACATTTTTGAGTTAAAATGAGAGCAATTATTGTCTTATGAGATTTCCAAAGATATATTTAATATTTAGTAAGTAAAGTCGAATAAAGCATTTTTAAAAATTAGAAAATGGCCTAAAAGTTAGCCTAATAATTATAAAATAATGATTTTTTTTAAATCAACATATTTATTTTTTAAGAACTACAGGTATTACAACCCAAATCTAAGAAGTACAGAAGTAAATGTCTGATTAAATTTTCTTGCAATGTAAGATATGATATACACTAAGATTAATTATAATATAAAATTTCAAGAAAATAGTTAAAATAAATTGCATTTATTTTATCTACTGTTATTAAAACAATCTTATTAGTCAAAACAATAAGACACAAAGTAAATTAAAACTATATTTTTATGCTATGTTTGTCTCATTGTTATATTATATTTTTTCAACTTTGTTATATTTTTAAAAATTATGGAATGAACATTTCATATTTGTATGATATATGAAATCCTAACAAAAGTATATTCATTGCCTAACAAATGAAAGGAAATTTAGACTAATATATTTCATAAAATATAAATATATTAAAGTAAAACTTGCTTTGTGATTTTGAAATTTCAAATAAGTTTTCCAGATGTATATACCTAATATCATATCAGCTCATCTTATAGAAATTTTGATATTCATTGCACTTAAAATAACTATCAATGTTTGACATTTTAAATTTGGTTTTACAAAACAGACATTAGGAAAATTGAATGTTTATATAAAGCCTTGTAGGACTTATTATAGTTACTCTATAACAAATGATGATAATCTCAAACCAAATTTCCAGCAAATATTTTAACAATCATCACATAAAAATAACACAAAGTTCAGGTTAAGAATAAATAAAAAGAAAATAATGGATAATCCCTTTTTATAGTTATTTAATTTTTAGGATTTTAGCTAGATGACATTATTTTAAAGTTGATTTACTAAAATTTGGATAGATACAGTTATAATTTCATCTTGAAAATCCAATATTTTTTAAATAACAATAAATTATTTTAAAAATATTTGAGTTAATAAATGTTTATCTGAACATAAGCTACTAAACATTTTAACTTTGTTTGCATTTGAGAGAATAAGTATGACAAACTTATCAATAATCTATAATTTTAACTTCTTAAAAATTAATATAACTTTTAAGAAGTTAAAATTACACATATATTTATAATTATAGATAATATTACTTATTTAAAAGTTCTTAAAAATATATAAATGATTATTTGCTTAACTTTTATTATTTGGATTTTCCTAAATAACATAGTCAGTCATATTTTCATTTTACAAAGGTTAACAAATTGCTTTACATTACAACACTGAAGAAACAGGTCTGGCCAATAAAGACTGCTTTTTGCTGCCAATGTTATATAATATAATATAATGCCAATGAATATCATTTCAAAATCACCCACAAGTATGTAACACTGTCAGACTACATCAATAGTGAATGACTACTGTCAAACTTTTCATAGGGGAAAGGGTAAAAGGAAAGGGAAAGGAGGAAAGTAATATCATTGAGATTGCTTTCTTCCTTAACGTGACAGTCACTCTCCTTTTGGTTGGAAAATTTATCCCCCTTCCTAAAGCCCTGCATTAATATTAATCAGTTATGTTTTAATGTATTTGTTTAACATGTAACAAACAATTTTTCTTTACAAATAAAATTTAATAAATTGTTCAGAAAGAAAAGAGAGATGGAAACAAAACGAATATTGAAAATAAATTTACCTGATGGTTAGAAGATCACATCCTGCTAATGCTATTATTTCACCAACATTTCTGAAAGAGGCACCCATAACAACTGTTTTGTAGTCAAATTTCTTATAATAGTTGTAAATTTTTGTTACACTCTTTACTCCTGGATCTTCTAGAGGTTCAAATTGCTTTTTGTCAGTGTTTGCAACAAACCAATCAAGAATCCTTCCTACAAATGGTGAGATGAGTGTGACACCTGCATCTGCACAAGCTACAGCCTATAAAAATATAAACTTTTAAATTTTCCAATGTATGATTAATGCATATTGTTTATACAAATGAAACAGAATTGGTAAAAACATAATACTATGGATTTCCATATCTTTAAAGAATACAAATAATTTAAACTAAACAGTAATCTGAGTTATTTTATTAATTATTTGAAATTATTTCCTGAGTTGAGTATTAAAAAAATGTTCAAATTAGGCCAAATAAACTTAATACAATAAATTAATTCATTATATGCATTTATGCATAGAGGTCAAACTGCAATTTGCAAATATCACTTTTGGTAACTGTTATTATGTTCTATGTATGTATGTCTCTTTAATCCGACATTAAGTTCGGTAGACTATCATTACAGCTTTCAGGTTATTGTATTGTACAGAAGAGGGACTTGGCATTTATATAAGTCCGAAATGCATATGTGGAAACAATAAAAGAAGTGTCTAACCTGAAAGCTGTAATGATAGTCTACTGAACTTAATGTTGGATTAAAGAGACATACATACATGCAATTTGCAAGCTGCATGCAGTTCTTCTTGACCCTTACTGAATCCGGTATACACATTTACACATACGTAATATTTTTGTAAGTTTTCTGACTTGTGTGATGTGATACATACACAGATTGTACACATGGATCACAACTTAATCTTGAACAGGCAACTGAAAGCTAAGATATGTTCATAAAGTTGAAGGATTTCATTTTAAGTACCAGTGATGTAACTGAAATTTACTATAGAAAAGTGATAACAAAAGAATTTTAACTATATATAATATAAAATACCATTCCTTTAGGAAATGAGGCTCTCACATATTTCTGATAGGTGATATGTCACTCTTAACATGACAAGGTTTGGCCACCCTGGACATTATCCTTATGATGAAATTAATAAAATAATTGGTAAGAAAATATCATTATAAAAGCATTTTTTTTATTTCAACAGAACAATAAATCACTGATGACAGCATTTGATAATAATCCATTAGAAAATTGGAAACTTGATTTATGATGATTATTCAGTGAAACAAAAATTCAATGATATCAAATTCTGTTTTATTCTATAAATAATGAATTATTAATTAAATTTAAAAAATATATAGAAAAGTCAGAAATTACTTGAAACTTGTATATAAAATCTTATTTTCAGTAAATAAATGAAAAAATCTTTTAACAAGAATATGTGAAGATTTTATAGTTAGTTTGCTTTTTTATATTTCAGAGATTTGAGAGTTAAGCAGACTGCATGGAATAACAGGAAAAATTTATGCAACTAAATTAGCATAAAAACAGCAAGTTTCATTATTGCTATCATTGATTATCATAATCTAGATTCTGTAAAATAAGTGAATAAAGGAACATAAGTATGACTAGTGCAAAATAGCAATTTCAAATTTCACTTACTCTTTCAAAGTTACTCTCAAATCTAATAAAATTTTAGGACAAAATTAATATTTCTAGCTAATTCTCACTGTTGGATTTTTTTGATTTTGGATATTTAGAACCATTTTCACTTATTCATATAAATTACTATAAAATTAGCAAAACTGTTAATTTGATTGAAAAGTATGTTGGATTTATATGGAGAATTTTCACAAAAAGATGCAATTCTTACAATTAATGTTATAGTTTCAATACTGAACTGGCCCAATATATTTAAGAGTAGTGACTAAGAAACAAAATTTGGCATGATAGCTTCTGTATAAGGGCATTGATGCTATTGAATTTTAATGTTAATGGTCAAGGGAGAGGAAATAGAGGAAAGTCAAGTGTCATATCTCTAGAGGGGACTTAAGCTTTTACTTGTTATTAGCATTTACAATTTTTTATAAAACTCATCACTACCCTGAAAATTAAGCTTTTTGCCACTTTATAATAATTAATAATATAACAAGTTTTTCATAATAAAATCTCATAATAGATACCATAAACAAGTTTATTTATTATGATTAATAGTATAAAAATTCTTTCTTGTTAAATAAAATTTCATAACAGCCAGGAAAGTTACACAACTTGCTGGACAATTTTGGATATGAAGAACATAATTTAGTTTAAATAAAATGGAAAATTAAAATTTCACTTGAAGATAAATAAAATTGTGTCTGCATATAACTATCATCACAGAGCTTGACAAACTATACTGTGAGATCAATTTTGACCTTGTCAAAGAAAGAAAGGACACATGACAAAAGGAACATATGGATACATGATCTTTGCTAATATTAGTCTTTGTTGGAATTAACCAAAGACAAAATTAAAACTTTTCAAGAATCATGTGAGTTTCTGAGAAATGAGTTCTCAAGAACAAGTATCAAATATTTGTGAAACAATGAGAATAAGGTAACACAGTTCTGCCAATTTCTTTGTATGGAAGAGTTAGTTACTAACTAAAACAGTATTCAAATGCTGATAATTAGTGATTGAAATAAATAATTAATTAGAGTATTAAAATTCCTTGAAAAGTTAGATCACAAAATATCCTGGTCTCTATTACTATAATGTGATTAGAATTTTTGACAGTAGAGAAAGTCACTAGTTTTTTGGAATTGGAATTGACTTGTTTGCTGTCTTGTGAGCTAATAATGACCACATCCAAGAATACATTTCAAAAACATGTGCAATGTATTTGAATACATTGCACATGTTTTTGAAACAAGAACTTTTTGCTTTTTGTTTTGTGAAGTTATGGCAATGTAACACTTTAGCAATCTGCCTGGAGGGGATGCCTTCTGGGAGGTCTTTTTAAGGGTAACTAGCTCCTATTCAGGCATTACAGGTGTGGAGAAAATCCAAAAAACTCCACATCTCCAGCCTGTCCTGGCAAGGTATAAACCCACAACTGAACAAGGTATAAACCGATTGCAGAGACAGAGTTTACGTTAAACGACATTTATCAACAGAACGGCCTATAGACGTTGGCTGGCCGAACCGTGGTTTAAAATGCGTTGCAAAGACGACGATAGTTTATTTCTGAACGCCCTCTAAACAGACTTCGGTAAAACATTGGCTCTTACTTTCTTCGCTATTACTCCCGTTTTAGGAGTCATTCAGCCAATTGGGTTATTTGTTTGTGATGTCAGAAATGGTCACCAGTTATATTCTGAAAGATTCCAGAAATAAAATCTTAAGGGCGTCAAAACCATTGTTCGGCAATTAATATCAATCCTTTTCCATTTTGATATTTAATTTCGCCGCCAATACAGTTTAAAATACGAACAAATCCATATTTAGAAAATTTATACTGAATTTAAAATTTGTCTTCGGAATAGATTTTTAAGGAATTATTTCGACATCTTATTACTGTCTCCCTTTGTAACTATTGAAATGAATAATTTTAAATATTTTATTATTAATATTACATTTTTTTTATATCTATAAACAGATTTCTGTAATTATTAAAATTGTCTCATTTAACAGTACAATGATTCCGAAATGCATTAACGTTTTACAACCGACACGATACTTGAATTGTAAATAAATGCATCTGATTTAAATTAATTGTAGTTTTAAGTCTTCACCCATTTGAATATTGGAATTAGAACATTTAAAACAAATTTAAAGTATTTAATTTTGTTATTTTTGCTCCGAGCAATTAATTAATGAATAATTTTGTTGATTCATACCGTTTACAACATTTATCAAAGGAATGATATCTGTTTTTATCTAAACTTTTCCACGAACAAAGCTACCACTCGAATTGTAAAGCCCGCTGTCGAGTGAGTCTAGAAAGTAGATCAAATAACATGTTTCTGATCACTGTCTACATTGTGGCAGGCGAGAAACGCTGTCTCTGCAATGAAATTTTTCTGAACAGCGGTCTACCCGTTCTGTAAACCACTGTTGGCCTCTAAACGCTCTCTCTACAATCGGATGCCAGTGTTCAGTGAATGGAACCACCTGACCATTGGTGAACCTGAACTTTTTGCAAATGAATAATTCTAAATCCTTGCATTTAAATACTCCTATCTTTAGTTACAATCACTTTGGATTAACCCTAGTAATAGAAATTATGGAAGTAATAGTTATTTACTATACAAAAAAAATTACATGACTGTGTGATATTTATCTAGTAGTTGATAGATTAAAAAAAAAATACTAAATCCTGTTCAAAATTAAAACCTGTCAAATCTGAAAAAATATTCAGTATTCAGTAATGTACAGTTCCAGTTTATACAGATTTGTGACCTTACGGTCACAAATCTGTATAAACTGTACAGCAACTATTATTCATTTAATAGTCTATTAAGAATTATTCATTTGCAAAAACAATTGCTGTATAAACTGTACAGATTTTACCATACACAACACAATTCAAAATTTCTTCCTCTTACATAAAATTCAATTTTTATCTGTACAGATTTCATTAACTTACCTGGGCAAAAGAAAATAACAGCGTCATGTTACAATGTATCTTGTATTCAGATTCCAACACCCTGTAAATAAGTATTCAAAATTTAAATTACAAAACTGAATATAATTATTAAAAATATTATATATATATATTTATGTAGAAAACTATCATAAACTTTCTTTATAAACTAAATTCTTTAACATGTATTAACAGCTTGTATTATTCTTAAAAGATGTCATTAGATGTAGAAGTCAAACAATTTGCTGAATTACATCGGGCTGTATTTACTGTTACTATTAATAATTAAATATTGTAATATAGTCCAATTAATCCGGGAATCATTTGGCTTTAATATAACTAATCAGGATTAGAGATGTAGAATTCAGATAGACAGTATTGCTAAATATATTAACATCCTCAACTTATGAAAAATTATTGTTGATTCCAAACAATATGTTGCACTTGCTACATGATACAATAATTAGATGTTGCATGTAATACTGTAATGGACAATAAATACATTGCATATAACAAAAGCTGGTAAGTTTATTTATATTTAATCATACTGTAACTTGGATTCATATATTTAGCTCCCAAAAATCAAAAACAAAACTAATTTTCTACAGAGCTATGTAGTCTGAGATTATCAATCTAATTTCAATTTTATAATAATAAATTATTATTATAATTTTAATTCATTTTTCCTTAATTAAATAAAATCAGTTCCACATGAAAACTGCCATACTCTGTCAGTACAATTTTTGATTCCATTGAACTTGGTTGACTATCTGCATATGTCTGATTTTTTGTTAATATATTATCATAATTAATTAATTAAAATATTAAACATTGGTCTCTTCCAGTAATAATCAGTAGACAACTAGTAGAGGCAAATTTGCAAGCTTTACAACCTCTGTGCATTCTGTAACAAGCATTCCAATACTGTCAATTTCATTTGCAGGGTTACAGTGATAGAGAAGCATGGACTGTTACAAATTTAGTAATGAATCCTGGTTCTATTTTATGTTAGTGTGTGGAGGACCACAGATGACCACTTCAGTTCACCTTTTCTGTTGAGTGGCAAACTGTCCTTAATGGTCATACAACATGTTGGATGTTGTATGACCATTAGTCATTTCTACTAGTGGTTTGAAAGACATCAACAGCACAGCAGTATGCCCGGGAAATCCCGCGCTCGTATCATCTTTCATCAAAAGGCTTCAAACAGCTATTTCCAAAATATTTATTTTTATATTTATTTGTATTTATATTCTTCAGGAAAGAAAATTTTAGTAACTTAAAAATGTATAAAGAATAAAAATTATTCTTAAATAATTGAACTGAAAATTTATGATAAAAATTATTTCCACATTGATAAAAAAAAAAAAAAACTAAGAATTGGTAATCAAACTTACTCAGCTGCCTTAATTCCTTCCCATGTGGAGGCCAATTTAATCAAGATTCTCTCTCTACTAATCCCTTCGTCTTCATACAACTTGATTAATTTCTTGGCCTTCTCTATAGATCCCTCTTTGTCAAATGATAATCTGGAAAAAAAAGGTGGTCTATGAGTTTTATTCAATTTGCACGTAAGAAGTTGTGCATCACCGGTTTAGAAAGAAAAATCGAAATTATTTTAGGAAAGAACAGGATTACCTAGCATCTACTTCCGTGGACACTCTTCCGGGAACAATTTTCAAGATCTCGCAACCAAATAACACGAACAACTTATCCATGGCCAGAGAGACCGCCTCATCTTTATTCCTGAAATAAAAAAAAAAGTTCATAAATAAAGTGTAAAACAAGCACAAAGACAATAAGCCATACTTCGAGCATTACCTCATTTCATCCAATTGTGTTAAATCGTATAAAACATTTTATTTTATTAGTTTTTTCTCGTTATAAAATTTTAAACAAATTAGAAAATTCCCACACGACATCAGAAAGCTTTTTTCTATTATCGTCCGTTCTATCGAACAAAGTAAAATAGAAGTATTTGATGGAAAAGATTTTCCATCTCGTTCCGATGGATCTTAGGATCACGAGGAAAAGTCACCAGAGGGCGATAATCACAGATGGGAAGGTCGAAAGAAGGACGGAATTCCTCCGAGTGAAAATCTTAGAAAAATAAAGATACTCACGCGCCGTTCTGTTTACCGTAATCGACAGCGGTTTGGACTAAGTGCTGATAGGCGGGCAACTGCGATGCGGCCAAAATGAGCGAAGGATTCGTGGTGGCATCGGTAGGTAAGTACTCTCGCATGGCTGCAAAGAAAACATTCTTATCCTCCGTCCGTCCGGATCCTCGACCGTCGACGGATGAGGCTTACCTTCGAAGTCTCCGGTGTCGGCCACCACCACGGTCATCTTTTTCAGTTGATCTAAAGAAGACATTTTTCTTGTTTTCCTAGCGATGCGATACCAAAACTTCCTAACCGGTCACTTCCGATTACGCGATCGAACTGCGACGAAGCATGAAGGGATTGCGCCCTCTACTTTCTCCGAAAGGAACCGGAAGTTCCGACAGATCTGCAGATTAGATTATTTTTATTTAAAAATTCATGAAGCGCCTACGAAATTATAAATAATATTTTCAATTTTGATAATGATGATAATAAAAAATGTACAATTACGTGATTAATCATCACGTTCTGCGTTTTGCATAAGCGGCGAATTTAATGAGGAAAATTTGCTATTTCGTCATACTTTAATTTTATTTTTTAATTTTCCGGTTTCTTTACACCGTAAAATAACGGCTAGCGGAAACTAATGACGAAATAGGTCAAAACAACGTGGTTTGTGAGGCCAAACCGGAAAAAAAAATTATACACAGTTACAATTGGAGCACGGAGAAATTTGTTATACAATTAAAACCTCTATTAAGATTATTAAATACAATACTTTAAAAATTCCGTGTTTACATCTTTTGCGTCATATGTTTATATATTTTATCTTTAATAATAACAATCTTTCCCGATAAAAAGTTGACGTAATTGACACGATCTTCGTTCTTCTTCGTTAAAATTTATTTAATGTTATTCTTAAAATTAATTTTGTCAAGTCAATGATTCGCAAATATCAGAGGCTGAAACCGCTAACCTTTTAGAAAAATGTTTAAAAAAATTGGTTTATTGAATTTTATTACTTAAAAAGTTTCTAACTTTTAATTTTAAAGCTAAAGTGCTCAATGTATAGAGACTATTCTTTCTCCATTTCGGCGATTCAAAATACAAAGTTTGATGCAAAACTAGATTTTTTCACACCTAAATGGCATTCTTTTTTTATATTTGAGAAAGCTGCTTACGATTTTCGTTTTATTACGAACTTTTCCTTCATATTTTATTGGTAAGAATATCTTCGATTTATCGAAGAATATTATGAAAGTTAAACTAAATTGCATAATCTTAAATAAGTATTTGGGATAAATATATATTACACATTTTTATCTTAAACTTTATCAGTAATATATTTAATTTAATGTAAAAGTTTATCTTTAAGTATAATCTTTATACCAGTGTGGAGTATATTCAAGACTTTTGAATAATGATTGATAAGAAAAATCTGATCGATATTATTAATTAATTATTTGTTTTATTTAAATCGTTTAAATTAGGTCAAACGAACGTTTCTACAGTTACGAACAACAAAATTTTTAAACAAAATAAATTTCGACTCGTTTTTCTACAATGGATCATTGAGACTTAAAGGGTAGTCACAAAAATTTTATCTGGATATAACAATTTTCAGATCACAAGCATGTTATTAATTGAAAATTAATTTTTCAAATTTAATACTTAGCGAACAATTTATAAAATGATTTATATTTAATAATCTGCAAAATTATATAGCTTATATTTATTAGGAATATTTAAAGACATTCTTATTTCATAATTATTATGCTCTGTAGCTGTACATTTCGATTACCATTTATAATTGTGTGACCGTTATTTGAATGTGTAAAGTAAATTATATGTATATATTATACAATGAAATTGTCTGTATAAATATATATATCATCAGCAAATCTTAGATCAAGGTCTTAAAACTAGTCGAAAATTAGTCAGGGATCGATTAAAAACGGTTCATTTAGTCTAATGGATTATGTATATGACAGTTCAGGATGTTGTAAATTTCTACTTTAAGTAGATCTTTTCTATGAAAACAATATGTGGATTAATACTAGCTCACCAGATTTGTTTATTTATTATTGTCATTATTATTATTATTATTATTATTATTATTAATTGTATTGTATTAGAAGGACTCTTTGTCTTAGACCGAAATGCTTTTCGAAATATGTAATGGAATTTTTCTTTTTTATTTCTAAGTATAATTTTCAATATTATTAACGTAAATATAGGCTATAACGCATAGAAATTATATAAATCGCAACTTTATAATAAACGAGAAGCAAGGATATATTACTTCTACAGGATACAAAACTGTCTGCCAAGAACCGGTACTACTTCATTATCATATTGCTCGACCGTATTTGCCAATTTGCTCCACGTCAGAGATTATTAGTCATATGTATGTTTCTTATTCCTTGTCGTCATGGTGCTTTACTATGGAATTTAAACAAATTATATAATTTTCTTTAGAAAAATATGCCACTATATTTATAGCTTCTCACCTTTACATACAATTTTTAATTTGTTTTATTTGTTGTACTTCTATGTATTTGGCATATTTTCTTTTAAAATCATTTATCATGTTAAATAATGCTGGACTGTTTGCAATCGTTTAGCGATGTTATTATCGAAGGACAGATTTTGTTATCTACCTCCAATCTGTTTATCGGTCCACTTAACTCAGTTTATCGATGAATTAAAACGTTTCGGGTGAATTCATTTGTATACAAACCTAAAATAGTATCAAGTAGAATATGAAAGAAAGTAAGAATGTGCAGGAGACAAATAGCGAAATTTGTTACATAAAAGTAAAATAGCGTAACAAGATACACTTATCATTTAACATAATATTTCGCAATGTAATAATTAATAAGACATAAGCCAAGTCATCTGGATTACTTAAACAATAAACTGTGTAATATTTTAATTAATTTTAGAAATGAATTGAAGTTTTTTTTTCCAAAGCAGTTCAAACAAAACTACGTAATTTTAAATTTCAATTATCAAAATTATTATAACTAACGTGAAGCATCTATATCCCCTTATAGTTCCCAGGGGTCACGCTGCCTGTTGCAAAATTTGCAATTTGCGAAAATTTTATTCATTTGGCGATTGAAGTGGCAGGGGAAAAAAGTCATTCGGTGAAAATTGATTTTGAGAAAGCTTGCGAAACATGGGCTGAGCAGCAACGAAAGATTTCGTTTTAATTAGATGTACAGTATAGTATTACTCACACTATAACACGGATTTTACTGTTAATAAACAAAAATAAAGTTGCTTGAGAAACTCAGTCATTAAAGGGACTATATTTCTAATAATCTATTTAATAATCATATATATAATTGATATAGACTTGAAACAAAAGGGCTATTTTTTATATTGTCAGTCATCTTTTTATTTCTGGTTGATACAAAAAGTCATAGTAAGCGAAAAAGTAACCTGGTGAATAACTTTCTATTTTGGCGAGTAAAAATGTGTCTGGCAAATGCATTGGCGAATGCTATAAAAAATCTAGGGTTATCCCCTAGTTCCACATCGTATCGCACAGTGCTTCTCAAATAGGAAACCGCGGCCCCCTATACGCCTTAAGACACCAGTTAACGGTTGCAAAACATTTAAATATATTTTTTTGTTTTTAAATCTTTCAATTTAAATAAAACAAGTCAAAGATATAACGAAAATCTATTTCTCATGAATTAAAAGCATTCATTTTCCTTGCACTAAACAGTTTAAGAAACACTAATAAACAATACTTCACTATTTTTGATAATTATAAAATACTTCAATCATTTTATTGAGGTGTTTTGTATTGACTCATTCGATTGTCAATAGATACTAAATTAATGCGATGAATGCATCTGTAATAATAAAATATGTGTGTGAGTATAAAGATGTAACTTAGAAAAACTTTATTTATTTAAAGTTATTTAACAAAACACTATTTGTTGTAAATTGTAAATGTTAATCTTCATTTCTAAAATATTTTATATGGATAATTTATAGGACTACACAATAAACTAATTATGTATAGAAGTTAAAGGGACCGTACATTTTAAATTAGATTTAGGGAGCCTTGACACCAAAAAGCTTGAGAAACTAATCGACAGATTTCATAATATTAGCGGAAAGTTTCATAGTCGCCAATGAAAATACAATTGAAATAGTTAAACTTTGACATAAATAAACTAAGTATCGACAAATTGTTCCTCGCCAGCGGTAGGCCTAGCCAAATTCACGATGGGTATAGAAAACGGCTCTGACAGAGCTCACAGAGCAAAACAGTAAATATATATATATATATATATATATATATAATACAATGAATAACGATGATCATTACAATCCGGCATAGAAGAGGAGTTATTATGAATTTAAAGCGTTAAATCGAATTTCAAATATATCAAATACAGCTTTATATATAAAACAAATATAGAACAGCTTTTTTATTGTTCTTTAAAAAATTAATAGATATTTGTTATCATAAAATAGTCATAAGTGCGTTTCGTAAGAAAAACTGAACCCCAATACAGAACAACCGGAAAGAGAAGCAAACTTTACAAAAGATCAGCAATTAAACAGAGACAATAAAATTTCATTAGAGAAAATTCTTGCAAAACTTTTCGTCAGAAATATTTAAATAAATAAATTTTTAACAGAAATGTTGAACCTATAACAAATTAATTCTATTTTCTTCCATCCAGAAATTGATCAACAAGAAGAAATCGAAATATGTAAATATTAGATAAACACCTTCTAACACAGAAAAATGAAAGTATTCAAATGCCATAAGTTTATGCTTTATAATTTTATATAAATTTGAATTTTATTATATTTTAAAATATAATTTTTAAAATTTACTCGCAGGTTTCTATTAAATGATATTATGATTTGGTATTCGGATAATTTTAAAACTAATGAATCATTCAAATCTATATGTCTTTTTAGAATTCTTATTTTTTGAGATTTTCATTTCAAAAACTTAACTTGAAAATTTGAATTTTATCACACAGCGTATTTCGTTTAATTGTATTTCGAGATTAAAATCAAAGAAATCCATCCAATTACAAAGTAGTTTTCTTTATAATTCAGTTTATAATTATTTGTAATCACTATAGCATCTATATGACTCACAATGCTATTTTTCAGAGTTTTATTGTATAAACTTTAAAAAATAAATTAAAAAATAAAGTTTAATTGAATATGAATATTAAAATATGTTCAAGCCACGACTATGATAAAAATAAACGATTGAGATTCATATAAATTTCTAGGAAGACTTTCAATGGAAACTGGCCCCTATTTAGACGTTACATATGAAAAAACCCGAAAAATTCCACATGGCCACTAGTTAGTCCGTTAGTCA